AGCATCACCCGCGTCTGCGGCAGCGCTGGGACGAGGAGCACGGGGCGCTCAGTCTCCTCTTGGTACCACGCTGCCCGGCATCACGCTATACGTAGGTGAGGGGCACGTACGTACGGTACATACGTGCTTTATCTGTCTGTTCCCGCTCAATCACAGCATCCTGCTGGGAACTCAGACCTGACACTCACCCCATCCCACGGGAAACTCTCCTTTCCAGGCTGGGATGCTGGCAGCGAGCTCCCTGTCCTGACGGTCGCTGCACACCAGTTGATTTTTTGGTTGTTGTTGTTTTAAATGCCATTTTAGGACTCGGGCAGAGGCAGCTGGACTCCTATTGATTTATTCAGTTCATCAAGAATAAATCAAACAACCTTGCTTTCTCCCGCTGCTTTTCGCCTCGGCTGGAACGTGCGCTCCTCGCCAGATCCCTAAACATAGATAAGCGACTGGGAGGATATTCGGGGGAAGTATCGTATATTCTTGCTCTATTCTTATCCTATTCTCTAGGCAGCCAATTTTGGCCGCTGTTTGAGATAAAACCCTGGGCTACAGAGCTATTTAGCGGGCTGCTCTTCTGATCCACTACAGCTCCTCTTAGAATCTTATCCAGGGGATTAACCCCTGCCAACTCGCCCCCAAAACCAACCCAGACCCCACCTAAAAATAACAACACACTGTTTTCCCCCTCCTGCATCCCCCAAATCACTTGTTCAGAAGCAGGCAGGGAGGAAGAGGGAGAAGATGCGATGGGTTTTTCAACAGTTTGGTGCCTCCCACTGAAATCCCTCCGTCTCCCATTCGGGGCTCGGTTGTTTTAGAGGAGCTTTTTGCACATTAGTCATCCCTTCTCCCGAGTTGCATAACGCCACTGCTAAAAATTGCATCGTACCGGCTCCATGGCAGCCCTCATCCTCAACCCTCGTTGCTCTGATGGGGATGAGATTTTTTGGGAGGGGGTCCACCAAGGGTTTTCCACATCGGGCAACCAGCTCCGGTGTTCGGAGGAGCTGATTTGGGAGCCTGGGGTGGGGGGAAGGAGAGGATGGGATCTCTTGGGATCTGTGGCTGCGCCTGCTCCGGGGTTAATCCTCTGCTTTCAAACCACTCAAACCCCAAAGTCTGAGTCTCTTGATCTGCTGCTTCTGCAAGAGACAGGGCAGCAGAGCTGGTTTGTCATGCCTGGCTCATCCCCAAAGTCGGCGCATGACCTTGGTTAAATCATTTATGATTCAGAGACCACTGAAATCATGGAGGGTGACCTTCCCTCTCGCACCGGCTGGGGATATTCCAGCTCCTCCTGCTTCATGAGGAGCCCGCTCCAAAGAGGAGGATGCGCCAGAGAAGCGCTGGTACGGTGCCACCCTACTCACCCCTTTGCCTGGCTCATGGGGGTTTTGGGTGATCCACAAACCGGCTGAATTACCCTGACCGTTTGGCATGGGACTACACTTTAATTACAGAAATCCAAGGAATGCAGCTACACACGGCCAACTCAGGTGTTGCCAGCAAGGAGTGAATCACCACCACGGCACAGGGGTCAAAAACCCCTATGGGACACCCTGGGTGGAGGATGGATGCTGGTCATCCCCATTTCTTCCCAAATCTGGAGAAATTCCAGCTCCAGCACCGCGTCTATGTGGTGCTCAGCCCCTGCTGTCAAGCGCCAGGACCCAGTTCATGGCACCAAGTTTTTTCCCCCTCTTTTCTGCTTTCCTTTGACTCTTGCTGCTCTGCCCGCACAGCTGGGGCAGGAGAAGAGAGGAAGGAAAGGAGAAAAACAAAATAAAAGGCAAGAGCTTCTTGCCGGCCCCGTGTAGGACTTGGAGGGGGGTTGTTTTGGAGATGTGGTGAC